ACCCTCACATCCATTCCATCACCAGGAACCTTCATTCTGTTCTGCTTCCAGAATACATCTCAATTCTTTCGTCATCTTTCCATCTCCACCCTCTCTTCTGCAGTTCCTCCAAGACCTCATCGTCTCGTTGGACCACTGCTGTCGACCCCGACTGACCTTTATCCTTTGATTCTTGTTGTTCTTCCATTGATTCTCTATGCAACAGTCAGAGTGGTTATTTGAGAACCTAAACCAAATCATTTCATTCCCTTACTTATCACCTAGCAAGAACATTCAGTGGCTCTTAAAATAAAATCCAAGATTTACAAGGCTCTGTGTGCTGTGGCTGTGCTTTTCTCTCCTCCTTCATCCCAGGCCATGCTCTGGCTCACCAACTATGCTCTATCCTCACCCATCTCCTTTCCCTTTCTGGAACACACCACGAGCTTTCTCACCTCAGGGTCTTTGCACTGGCGATTTCGTTCTATTGAAATGTTCTTCTGCTGGTCCCAGCGATGGCTGGTTCATTCTTGTCCTTTAGGTCCTAACTCAGATGTTACCTCTTCAGAGAGATCAAACTATCTGTGACCACTCTGTTTAAAAAGGCTTTCCCTTCCTGTCACATTATTTTATTTCCTGCGTGACATTTACCACATCACAATTATCTTGTTGATTTATTTTTTTTGTCTGTTGACTCTCCCTAGGTTCCATGAGGGCAGTGATCTTGTCCATTTTGTTTGTTGCTGTGTTAGGCACTCAATAAATATACGGATCAATGAACAAATGAATATGGATCACAAAAGTTTAGAGGAAGAAGCAATCTCTCTGCTAGTCATGGAGCAGATTAGGCATTTGCTAGGTATGAGGGAGAAAGAGTGAACCTGGAGAAGAGCGTGAGCAGAGGCAGAGGGAACTACGCTGAGGTGGGACGGGCAGACACTAGGATTGCAGAGATGGAGCAGCTCTTGAGAGGCCATGGGAAGGAATGTGACTGACATGGACTCAACTCCTGACCATCCCATAACTACCTATGTAGCTTTATTTAACCATTTGAACCATCTTCATCTGTAAAATGGGGAAAATGATCCCTACTGTGGAGGGTTATTGTGAGCATAATGCTTTATACTTAGGGTCCTATTGGAATGCATGTGTAATAAACAACTATCTGTGACCACTCTGTTTAAAAAGGCTTTCCCTTCCTGTCACATTATTTTATTTCCTGCGTGACATTTACCACATCACAATTATCTTGTTGATTTATTTTTTTTGTCTGTTGACTCTCCCTAGGTTCCATGAGGGCAGTGATCTTGTCCATTTTGTTTGTTGCTGTGTTAGGCACTCAATAAATATACGGATCAATGAACAAATGAATATGGATCACAAAAGTTTAGAGGAAGAAGCAATCTCTCTGCTAGTCATGGAGCAGATTAGGCATTTGCTAGGTATGAGGGAGAAAGAGTGAACCTGGAGAAGAGCGTGAGCAGAGGCAGAGGGAACTACGCTGAGGTGGGACGGGCAGACACTAGGATTGCAGAGATGGAGCAGCTCTTGAGAGGCCATGGGAAGGAATGTGACTGACATGGACTCAACTCCTGACCATCCCATAACTACCTATGTAGCTTTATTTAACCATTTGAACCATATTCATCTGTAAAATGGGGAAAATGATCCCTACTGTGGAGGGTTATTGTGAGCATAATGCTTTATACTTAGGGTCCTATTGGAACGCATGTGTAATAAATGTTAGCCATTTATATCAGTATTTAATTCAGATTCCCAGCTAAGGGTGTGCATCAAAATCAAATTTGGAGCATTGTAGAAATGGGGATGCCAAAAACCCAACTCAGTACTACTGAATTAGAAGAGCTATCTCTGGGTGGGGGTGGGGGTGGGACTCCAGCATGTGTGGTTTTCAGAAGCTCCCCAGTGGATTCAGATTTATAGCTGTTGTTTAGAACCATGTGTTTAATCCAAGCCATGCTGGAATTTTCTCTAAACATCTCTTGCTGAGAGACTGTCCAACTCGAATAGCTTTGTAATGAGAACTCACAGAGCCACAGGTCCAGCTGCCCACCACTTTGGCATCTACCTGAACCTCTGAACTTTAGTCCCTCAAGACCAGGCCATTGATCTCTTATCAATTGGGTAATATTTGGTATTAATTTTTTAAAAATCTTGCAGTCACAATAAAGTCATTATGCCTTCTATTATTCTTGGTCATGTCCAAGATGGAAGCCAATCTAGTTATCTTCTGTACTCTCACCCCTTTAGTATCTGGGCTTCTCCCCTAATCCAACTACCCTTTGCTGGGTTCCCACCCAAACCTCTCCACTGAGTTCTTTAGAATGTCAGCTTCAAGGTATACAAACCTACATAAACCTATACCTTCAATGTCTTTACTGATATTCCCTCTACTTCCTGCTGTAACTGACCCCGGCTTAAAATAGATGTTTTAGATGTCAACAATGACTGAAATATTAACTAGCTGTTTGGTTAGTTGCTCATGTACCCACAAATATATTCATGTGTTGGAATGTTTGGGGCCAATAAATACGCATATAGGTTTGACGCTGGGAAAACATGATGAGAGCCCAGGGGTCTTGTATCTGGTAAACAAGTATGAAAAAGGAATCAAGCCCTGTAAGCAAACATGGGACAAGAGAGGTAGACAGTTGGAATTTATGAAATGACCATCTTGTTCTTGTCCCATAACTGCTTATTCCTTCGTCTGTACTGACCAGAACCTTTTTCTTTTCTTTTTTTTAATCTCAGAGCCAAAGGACTGGTCAGGTGGGTTGGGCTGTTGCATTAAGTGTCTTATGATAACTCCGATGACAACAGATGAGACCCTGCTTTGGGAAGCCTCCTCAGGGAAATAACTCTTGGGTCCTGCAACAGACCAGACATCCTCAATGGGATGGAGAAGAGTGTCATTCCATTAAATCCACTAAGTCTGTATCAGAGGCTCATTTAACAGAAGCCACCCATTTCGAAAGCCAGGAGTGGTTGATGGGGAGATGGGATCAGATTATCCATACTATTTTTTCTATTTTGAATGCTTTATCTCAATAAGTAGTCTTCTATTGTAAAAGCCTGATGTCATGAGTGCTTACTATTTTTGGCTTTCTACAGATTGGGGAAAAAATGAAAAAATCAGTATGAATGCCGAAATTTTTTTCGTTTCTGTTTTTAGGTGTAACTGGGACTATTGGTTACATTTGGAATTATTATGGCCACCTTCTTTCATATTTTATATTTATTATACTTTTTTGAATAACATTGTATCTATGAGCTCCCCACTATGACATAACATGAGAAATTGACCATGCTTTACTTCTTCCCTTCACCTTACTGCTCAGGTTTTATTGACATAATTTGGAATTTTATTTTCAAGTTACTAATTTTTTTACATTGTTCAGCTTTTAGTTCTGGAATCCTTTACTAATAGTTATATGATGCTCTACGGTCACAGTTAAATGATGAGGGAGACTTACTGTACATCTTGCTGATTTTATTGCTCATTAGTATTTCTTCTAAAACCTTCTGCCATCCACCCCTTTTCTCAGGATATTTATTTTTGCTTCTTTTTTGTTGAACCAGAGTTATTTTTGAATTTTTTTTTCCCAGAAAAGATACACATATGGATTTTTAAAAATTCTAAAATATTGGAAAATGACTTTTTTGTTCTCTTATGCGAAGTATAGTTTGGCTGGGCCTAGAATGGTCATGTCATAATCTTCCTCCTTCAGCTACTTCTCTGTAAATATTCCATTGTCTTTTTAAAATATATATTTATTTTTATTAAAAAAATTTCTTTTGGCAGCTGGCTGGTACAGGGATCTGAACTCATGACCTTGGTGTAATCAGTACCACACTCTACCAAGTGAGCTAACCAGCTAGCCCATTGTCTTTTAATAGTCACAGTTGTACAGAAGAAATTTCATATTAATTTTATAATTCCAGGTTTGTTTCCCTTCAAGCAACTGACTTTTTTTTTTTTTTTAAAGTTCATGTAAATTGAATGTTTAGAAGATAAACACTTTTGAACCAACCTAAATGTCCATTGACTAATGACTGGATGAGGAAAATGTGGTATATACACTCAATGGAATACTATTCTGCCATAAAAAAGAATGAAATGCTGCCATTTGTAGCAACATGGATGAACTTAGAGAAAATTATGTTAAGTGAAATAAGCCAGGCACAGAAAGAGAAATACTGCATGTCCTCGCTCATAAGTGTGAGCTAAACAATAAACAAATATATAAAAAAAGAAAGAACAAGAGAAAGAAACAACAATCACAACAATACATTGAGCTTTCCAAAGGAAAGAACAGAACTGAGGTTACCAAAGGTGGGAAAGGTGGAGGGGGAGGGGAGTTAGTGAGAAATTGGTAAGGGGCCACAAAAAAATGATTACATGTGTAATGATAAATATACTAATTATCCTGATTTGAGCATTACATATTGAACATAGGGATTGATATTCAATATGGTTCCCTGTAGATATGTACAATCAATTATTTTTCAATTAAAGAAAAAAAAAAGATAAACACTTTCTTCCTTAATTTGCTTTAAAAGGTTCAGAGACTTTGTGCATATTTCATTTAATATTCAGTTGGCAACAATTGTTACAATTGCATTATCACACCTACTCAGGGGTTAATGATCTGAGAATACATAGTAAAAGGTACCAGAAAATGTTAACATTTAAAAGAACCCTACGATGTATTATTTCATAGACCAAAGAATTTTTTTATAAGTAAATCATCTCATAATTTGGCTATTCTGTATGTGTGCATGTTTGGAAATTTCCTTAAATTCAGACATAGTTGTTTTCTGTACTTCTGAACAACCTTATTTTATATATCTATATTTGGAATATTTGATGGGGTTCATGTTTTCTCTTTTCCCATCTGAGTGGCTCCTATCATTATTAAATGTTTATTTCTCAAATACTAATTATAGGGTGAGATGTCGGGGCTCCTAACTAGTGTTGTGTTTCTTCCTTCCCATTGCAGAGATTGACTGTGGCAGCCCTCCACAAGTGCGACATGCTGTCTTGGTAGGGAATCACAGCTCTAGCCTGGGCGGCATGGCTCACTATGTCTGTCAAGAGGGCTTTGAGAGCCCTGGAGGAAAGATTACTTCTGTTTGCACAGAGAAAGGCACCTGGAAAGAAAGCACTTTAACATGCACAGGTACAGATTTCATTTTGCTGGGGCTCCTGTTACCTGGGAACAAAATAGCCAGTGGGAGCATGGGCATAAAACCATTTAATTGCTGCCTCACTCTGTGCTCTGTGTCTGGCTCTGCCATTTACCTGGGTGGGCACCTGGCTTTAGATTTGTCAGATAAATCCTGAAGATTTAGAGGGTGGATGGGGAAAATAAGTTGGATACAAAATTCTATGCATCCATCTTTTGAAACTCACCTTAAATCACAGTGATTCCTTTCTCCTCTGCTTGACGGGCTGAGAAATTTTCTCCATGATCCATTTTCTCAGAGGGGCATGCTCCTAATTTAGCATATGTTGACAGCTTTTCAGAGAAAAGGTGATGTAATGAAAATAAGTTTTCCAATGTTTATTTTTATAATTGTGGTAAAACACACAAAATAACATTTACCATCTTAACTATTTTTAAGTGTACAATTCAGTGGTGTTAAGTATAGTCACACTGTTCTGTAACCAATCTGCCGAACTTTTTCATCTTGCAAAACTGAAACTCTTTATCCATTAAACAACTCCCCATTCCACCCCTCCCCACACCCACTGGCAACCACCATGCTATTTTATCTCTTATGAATTTGACTATTCTAGGTATCACATATAAGTAGAATCATATGGTATTTGTCTTTTTGAGGCTGGCTTATTTCACTAAGCATAATGTCTTCATGTACATTATGTCGTGGCATGTGTCAGAGTTTCCTTCCTTTTTTTTTTTTTTTAAATTTAAAAAAGATGACTGGTAAGGGGATCTCAACCCTTGGCTTGGTGTTGTCAGCACCACGCTCAGCCAGTGAGCGAACCGGCCATCCCTATATAGGATCCGAACCCGTGGCCTTGGTGTTATCAGCACCTCACTCTACTGAGTGAGCCACGGGCCGGCCTGAGTTTCCTTCCTTTTTAAGGCTAAATAATATTCCATTGTATGGATATATGACAGGTTTATCCATTTGTCTGTCAATGGGCACTTGGTTTGCTTCTACCTTTGGCTATTGTGAATGATGCTGCAATGAATATAGGTGTGCAAATATCTCTTTGAGACCCTGCTTTTTCTGTTGGATATTCTTTAATTACAGAAGTGGAATTGCTGGTGAAAAGGAGTTTTGAGACTTCAGTTCCAATTCTAGCAGTATGTCACAGGCAAGGCATTATGAGCCTCAGTTTCCTCATCTATAAAATGCGGGGAAGAAAACCTCTGCCTTTTCTTTTTTTAAAAAAAATTTTAATTTATTTTATTTATTGAATCAAAATCGATTATACATATTTTGGGGGTTGAACATTGAGATATGTTGATCAAATTAATATTACTAGCATATATATTGTTACAAATCATAATTATTCTTTATGCCCCTTGTCCAATCTCTCCCCTTCCCCCCTCTCTCTCCCCCTCCCCCCTCTAATTACCCTAGATTTCTTCTCTCCTTCCGGAAGAATAATGGTTACTGTGTTGATTTGTTGCCTAGATGATCTGTCCAATGCTGAGAGGTGTGATCAGGTCCCCCAATATTATCATAGAGCAGATACTTCTTCTATCACTCTGAAATGGGCTTTGTGGTGAGAGACATCCTCTTCTTTTCTTTATCTCTGTTGGTGACTCTCCTTGTGTGAATTCACTCCAGTGGCTGAAGGACAATCTGCATGGTGATTGTGGTGTTTAGCCACTTTTGCAGCAGCCATGGTTATTGTGATGGCTGTGGTGGGCCACCCATATGAAGGTGATGTTTTTGGCATGCTCCTTGGCACTGGCACTGTGCCTGGTTGTGGAGTGTGTCTGGTCCCCTTCTCCATGCCTCTGGTCCCTGGACGGGCTCTGAGGTGTTGGCGCCATGTGCCTGGTTGTGGGAGGGGGGGTCCGCTCCCTGGCTTCATGCCTCAGGTTACCAGGCAGGCCTGGAGACCCTGGCACAGTGTGCCTAGTTGTGTGTGGGGGGGTCTGGTCCCCTTTTCTGTGCCCCGGGAGCCCAGGCGGGCCCTGAGATACTGGCACAGGGTGCCTGGTTGTGGGAGGGGGATCTGGTCCCCTTCTCCATGCCCCAGGTGTCTGGGCGGGCCCTGAGGCACTGGCGTGGTGTGCCTCGTTGTGGGAGAGTGGTCCGGTCCCCTTCTCCATGCCCCAGGTCCCTGGGAGGGCTCTGAGGTGCTGGCGCAGCATGCCTGGTTGTGGGAGGGGAGTCTGGTCCCGTTCTCCGTGCCCCAGGTCCCTGAGTGGGCCCCAAGGTGCTGGTGGTGTGCCTGGTCTGGAACTAGTTTTTTGTCCTTTGCTTACTTCTAACACGGGGGAACTTCTTGTGGGAACCAGTACTTGAGCTGTGTGGTTAAGTTAAATTGCTGCTTTGCTGCTGTTTCCCTAGGGAAAGCTTTTTGTGCAGCTCAGGGTTTAATGGTTGACCTTACAGGTACTTCCAGCTCTCCAGAGACCAGGTGGATCTGTTTTCTGTAGAATCTCTGATCTGGGTCTGACGTTTTTCATCAAAGTGCACCCTTTGCAATTCTGCATTCCTAACCAGTCTCCTCTGAGTGGTCCTGTGCTGATTGGGGGGTGGGTTGACTGTCCTTGCTGTGCCCCAGTGTTCTTCCGGTGGGCCCGTCTCCCCTACCGCCCATGCTGCAAACACCTCCCATATGCCGGTCCCTTGCGATGACTCACCAGCCTCTGAATGGCTCCCTTTTTTCAGTTGTTCTGGCTCCTCACTCCTGCGTGGGTCCACGGGAACCCTATTAGTGGTCTTGCTGTCCTGGGGCTGCCAAGGCCCTCTTCTCCCCTGCCCATTTGATTCCCTCCCCAAGTAACTCCATCCACAGGGCACAGCTGCGGCTTCTGCCAGCTCCTGCTCCACGTGCTCATCAGCTTGAGCCTTAAAGCAGCCGCAGCCGGAAACACTCAGAGCAGCTTTTTCTTTCTCTTATCGTAGTTTCTCCTGCCTTCATGAACTCTGTAGGTCTCTCCTCCTCTTCCCATGAGGGGCCGCAGCTTGGCTGATGTTACATTTTTATAGTTGTAAATTGGTTGGTTTGTGGGAGAGTGACGCTGGGAACTGTCTATTCCACCATCTTGACCGGAAGTCAACCTCTGCCTTTTCTACTTCAATGAGTGTTAAGAGGGAATCAAATGAGATAATGTATGGGGAGCATTTTGAAAAGTCTAAAGCACCATGCACACGTTAGTCCTTTTCCTGAAACTGCTAGCCTGGCGTGCAGATCTTCTCATGAATCAGCACTGTGCACTTCCCCGTGCTTAATTTCATGCCTCTGCCTCCTGGAGACAAGGTGGGGAAAGGCAGTGATCCTTACCATTTGTGATGGTTGGATAGAGGGTGTGACAAAATGGTTAACATAATCTCAAGTGGCTCTGGGAATATATTTCTGGATGTTGACTTGCTTGGCTGTGAAGACAGATCTCTGAACAGTGAAATCTCAAGGTAGCTTTGGTCTGAGTCTCTGGTTTGACTTGCAGCAGAATTGTGGTAGAATGAATGTCTTGGGAATGCTTCCATGGGAAAGTCTAGTCAGAGTAAGCAAAACATGTGGACTTCCACTCATTATTTGTCCATAGAGCAATGGTTTATAACCATTTTGGGGACAGAAATTTGGTGAAATCTATCCATTCATTCAATAGATATCTATTTAGCATATGCTATGTGTAAGGTACAAACACCACCCTCTTGGAATCAATAGGGGAAACAGAATGTTCCCCAAAGAAATGTACTTATACATGTAATGTTTTACACATATACATGTAATGTTTTACACATATACATGTAATGTTTTACAAACAAATTCAAGGTGGTCATGGACTTCTGAAGTCCTTGAGTAAAGCCTTTCCCCAAAGAAATGTACTTATACATGTAATGTTTTACACATATACATGTAATGTTTTACAAACAAATTCAAGGTGGTCATGGACTTCTGAAATCCTTGAGTAAAGCATAATGTTTTACACATATACATGTAATGTTTTACAAACAAATTCAAGGTGGTCATGGACTTCTGAAGTCCTTGAGTAAAGCCTCCTTGGAGTAGATGGAAAATTCAGCTCAGCTGCTGAGGCCCTGTCTGTGCCATGCCATTCCTGCATTCAATTATCTCCACCACAAATGCAAGAAGATGTAGGCCAGAGACTGCAATCGTAGAAACAAAGAAGTGTAGATCCGGATGAGAACACAGAGATCTAGTTCAGCCTTCTCTTAGAGCGGTCTCATTGACTTGCCCAACTTGCACAGAGAAGCAAGGACTCCAGGGTCCCAGTTTTAATAACTGAGGAAGTAGAGAAGAGCTGATGCCATACTGGACTAGACTGATGGTCATTCCAACCTATCATTGCATCTCTAATAGCACCTCCAAGAGTTATTTGGAGGAGGGGAGGTAGCTGCCTCTTTGAGTGCTGAATTCAACATTTGGAGAAGTTTTCTGACGCTGACCATGGAGTCACTTGGTAAGAGAGCTGGGCATAGCTTCTGGACCCTCAGCCATTTGCTTCATTGCTCAAGTTACTCTGCCTCCACCATTCAGAATTTGATGGGGGTACAAGGATTAGTCAGTACATGAAAAACCGGTGGATCTGCATGGGGCATAGTAAGCTATTAATTAGCTGATGCTTGTAGAGCACTTTGAAGAACAAACATGTTATGTAATTGCTAATTACAATTACTGTCCTCAGCTTGTCACCTTCCACAAAGTCTGTGGTTCCAGCTGCAGCTGTTTCCGTGGGGTTCTGCAAGCTTTGATTTAAGGAAAGAAAAGGCGTTCTCCCTGAGAGCTGTGATCTTTCTGTGAGGAGGCCTCTATGCGCTCAATCAGGATTGGCAGCTAAATTTAATTTCCTCAGATAAAGGGGGGTGATTTACATGCTGATTAATTCATGGTGCAGTGCAGATGATCTCTGGGTGGGTAGGTAAGAGAGGCTTCTGGAAATGTGGTGAGAGATGCTGATTATTGGGCTCTTGTGAAGCTGCCCCCATTTTTCTTTTCCCCATT